AAATCACATTCCTTGAGTAAAGCACAAAAGTAGAGTTGATTCAGTTCCTAATTTTCAAGCCTTGTCTTCTGTTAAGTTGATTTGTTTCATATGGATGGAATTTGTTAAGCTTGTTAAGTGAAAATTCTGCAACTGGGAAAACCAATATAGTTATTTATGTTTTTTTTCCCTTTTCTTACAGGTTTGTAGCAGATGCCTATATAGGGAAGTGTGACAGGGTTTGGCCTACTGACCATATGCTGATCAAATATTGGGATTTTCTCTGGTTATTAAGAAAATACCAAGATTGAGACTTAGTGAATGGAAAATGATTTGGTTGTTTACATGGTACATAAATTTAAGAATGTCAGATTTTTGTGTTGTTTGAAAAATGTGAGAGCTAGATCTATATGATGTTCTGGTTCCTTGATCGCTGAACCTTGAACCACAGAATACAGAATCCATGTTTATATTCAGAGTACACAAAATGTGAGAGATGGTTGTTTACATGGTTCCTGGGTTGGCTTCTATCCAATCACCCCCAATCTTATGACAATCCATCTACAACTACAGGGGAAAAGGAGAAAAGGGGGAAACCGTAGAAATAAGGGACACAATGTGTATGATTTGTATCACATGGACTTAAGCTCAAAGGATAAAATTGGCAAGAGGTGAAAATGATAACAAACTTACCCAGGAAAGTAGGTGTTGCAAAAGAACATGGGAAAGTAAGGAAACTCACTTACCTGGATAAATTAAACAAAAAAATAACATGGGTAAGTGCACTTACCCAGGTAAATGTATTTCCGAAAAAAGAACAGGGCCTATATGTCAACATTACCAATTATTATAGGCAATCCGGATAAATGAAATATGTTTGTGTGTGTGTGCACGTGCGCGCACGTGTGTGTCTGTACATATGTGTATGTGAGAGAGAGAGAGAGAGTAGAAAGAGAAAGAGAAAGAGAGGCTACACCCTACCAGTGACATTGTGCAATAACCATACACGGCAGGAGGAAAATTTTCTCAATCATGTCATTTCAAAGTAATCTACAAAACTCAATGTCCTTTTTGGATGCAGAAAATGTGATACATGGTTCAGGTATGGGGGAGAGGCATAGACTGGACCATTATATGTATTGTTGATCCAAAGGATCCACAATGTCAGTCCACGTTGTGTTAAATTAGTCACCATAAGTGTCACATGCATACATGTACAACTGTATAAACACAGTCCACGTTGCAGAAAACTGTTTACCAATGGCCATTAATCAATCTTCCTAATTTTGCATCAAAACGGCTAATGAAACTGAATGCAACTGGTTAAACTGTTTACCACGTTGCAGAAATTCACTGTTCTTACAATGCCACTGGTTAAACTCCTAATTTAACTCTAATAATCCTTTGTTAATCCTAATGAAACTGAATGCAAAGAAATTAAAAATCAAAGTAGCAATTCATATTTGTACCGTTTATAGTAATTATAAAAATAGTAACATTGTTTTTAATAAGAACAGTGAATTTCTCGAAGATTGAAACTTAACCCAATTCTTAAAACACCAATAAACTAGAAAATAAATTTGAAAAAGTCAAAAATACCATATAGTAGAATATAAATCACCCAAAATTTCAGAAATTGCTTTTAGTTCAGGAATATTAAAAAACAAAAAAGTTTATTTCTTCTTCTGTGGTTTCTTTTCTTGCTTCCCATTTGCATCAGAAATGTTTTTTTATAAGTATATTTGCATCAGAAATGTTGATGGTTTAATGGTCCCTACTAGTTTGGCAGTGTAAATCTATAGAGCATATCTCATGCACATTTTTTTTGGATAAAACGTAATATACACAGTTACCTTACCTTAAAAAAAAAAAAAAAAAAAAAAGTTTTGTATAGGGAAAATTCCCGATTAGTACCCTGTACTTTGGGCCTAGTGCCACTTTGGTCCCCAAACTTTAAAACACGACAATTCAGTACCAGAACTGTCAAAAATGTGCCAATCCAGTACCTGCCATTAACCGGCTGTTAAGTGACATTTGAAAAGACACGAATGCCCTTTGAGTGTCATCTTATTCTCTTTATCAACCATCCAAACATTGACAAAAAATCAACAGTCTCAAATCCTTGCCTCTTCTATTCAAGAAAGTTGGGGTCACCAGAATGCTCACTGAGACGTGACCCCAACTTTCTTGAACAGAAGAGGCAAGGATTTGGGACTGTTCATTTTTTATCAACGTTTGGATGGTTGATAAAGAAAATTTGATGACACTCAAAGGGCATTTTTGTCTTTTCAAATCCCACTTAATGGCTGGTTAATGGCAGGTACTGGACTGGCACGTTTTGAAAGTTCGGGTATTGAGTTGTCATGTTTTATAATTCGGGGACCAAAGTGGCACTAGGCCCAAAGTACATGGTACTAATTGGGAATTTTCCCTTTTGTATATTGGCTCTCTAATTTTGGACTGGTAGCCAGTACATCCTTAATTTCAAGACTGGGAAATTCAGGGATGGACTTGGGTTGTATTAGAATTATACAGGGATGTACGTACCTTTATCAGAAGAAAATGAAACATTTTTCCAGACTTGTATCATACATTTTCCATGTAATGAAACACTGATTGCAATGTCTTAGTTTCTTCCATTTCTATGTGGAGAGATGGAGGATGACTTGAACTGTGTGATCAGTTGCATGCAATCTTCATAAAGGGGTTGGGGTTGGTGGAGTTTCTCATAAGCTTTGTTTTCTGATCAGTAAGTTCCTTACAAACTTAGAGAGGCTTTTGCTTTCAGGATGACCATATTATATTCTTGGCTTGCTAAATTTGTCATTGAATAAACACATAACATTTTAACCAAACCTGAGGTCAAGGAATGTTTTCGCAAAAGTAAATCATAAATTTTCATTGTAACCTGTAAGCTTCCTATCGTAGATTGCACCCCTATTGTCTTTTTAGTTGCCTCTTATATCCCCTTTCTACTACTTTCAATTAAATGTTCCTAATATCAAATAAAAATGAAGAAGAAATTATGACAAGTAAAAAGATAGATGTGGTTAATGTTTCTGCTGATTCTAGAATTGCCTGCTGTCTATTCAACTAGATGTGGTGTGATAAAGAAATAAAGATATAGTATAGAAGACTAAAAGGGTGCTACTGTACACAAACTTAGGCAGCCCCTTGTTTTGTAGCCACAAACTTTTGCATATTGGAATTTGAATAAAGAGAGTTCTTTCTACTTTCTTCCATCTCCATAGCCAATTGATATTGAGTGAACTCTTCATTTTTTTTAACTCCATATTCTTCACACAATTGGTGGTAGGTGGTACTCTTTCTACTATTAGTTTGTTGTTTGTGAAACTTCTGGGTGATTCAATTTCAAAAAGAAGTTATTATATTGGCAACAACGTCCCTACCTTATAATTCCTAGATGTAAACAACATGCATATGTCAGAGTGAAAAAGACAGTCCTCTTCCTGTAAAACGGAGCTTTTGTTCCTTTCACACATTAAAGCAATAAAAATGTACTTTTAACTATCAAAAAGATACTGATACGAATAGGAAAAGGAAACTTGGAGGAAGAAAGTAAAAATTAAATAACAGAACTAACTAGTAAGAGTTTTATCAAACATAATAAAATGAGTACAAGAAACTGATTGACTTGGATGAATGAAATAGTTATCTTTCCTCAAAAAAAAAAAACAAAAAAAGCAAAAGTAAAAGTAAAAAACAAGACAACTCCTCTTGCACTTCAGCTCTCTAATGGTGCAATTTGCAAGAAAATACTGTAGAGTTAAATGATGAAGGTATTATCAGAAAAGAGATTGATCATCCACTTGATTTGAAACTACTTATTTGTCCAAAACAATGAGATTAAAGCCCTGTTCAATAGCGCTTAAGTCTTAACTCTTAAAATCCTCCATAGTCTCACCCCTCCTCATGCAAGTGAATCAGCCAGGGAATTAGTCAATCTACGGAGTTAAACAAGCTCTTCAACCTAGACAGGAAAGCTGTTGCCTCTCTAATGATTCAATTTATGATGGTCACTCTATAGGATAGGCCATTTGGGCTTTCTGCTATTACCAGGGTTCAGATAAATGACAAGCTACACAATTTATGCACTTTCAGATCAGATAAATCATGGAGGTTCTAACATGTTTGAGTCCACCTCCCTTCTTGAGGACCTTAGGACCATCAAATAACTAGGCTTCCTCTATATCATCCTTGAAGATGCTAAAAATGCAATTTCACTGGATCTGAACAAACCATGTACAGACAGAAGATGTACAAAGGGAAACAAAAAACTTTCCCGAAACACCAAACAAAGTCCCAAACCCTTGAAAGTTTACAAACATACTATCCTTAGACTCTTTACGAAAAGACTCCCCATCTCTAAAAAGGTACTATAATTTCTTCCTTTAAATTCTCCATGAACACTCAACCATGAAAGCATCTTTCCAACTACTCTTTGAAGAACTGTATCTAAAGAATTATGCTGATTATGGAAGATTCTTCTATTCCTTTCTCCAATCACCCAGAAGATTGCTGCTGGGATTACACTCCAAATGATTTTCCCTCTCCAAGTTAAGCCCTCTAAATTCCAACCCTTTAAGAAATCCTCCACTGAACTTGGACAATAATTTCTCACCCCAAATGTGGTCATAATTCTGTTCCTGATTAAAGAGAAAAAGGTGCAATGAAGGAGTAGGTGATCAGTTGACTCCTCAGCAACATCACGAAAGACACACCTTGTCTCATATAAGGTCATCTCCCCTTCTCAACAAATTGTCCTTCGTTACGATTTTATTCAACAAGGCTGTCCAAACAAAAAAAAAAAAAAAAAAACGCCTTGGACAGTACATTTCTGCACCAAATCCTGTTGACAGGCACTTCTTGCCCCCATGGATCAAACAAAGCATTGTAAAAAGATCTGACAGAGAAGGAAATTTGGTGTAAACCTATCCCGCCTAAAGTTTAAGAATTGTGTTGGGAAGTACTCCTTGGTAAGATAAACACCTGCGGGCCTGACCTCGGGCCTAACGCAGTAAGCCCGACTGTGTTACGGGCCAGGCTCGGGATTTGTCAAAAAAGCCCGGCCCAAGCCCGACCCGGCCCGACTCAGCATTATATATTTTATAAAATACATAATATGTATTTTATATATTATACAAAATATATAAATAATATAATATTTATTGAAATATATATATTTATAATTTAATATACATTTTTTATTTTTTTCTTTATAGTTTCTCTCTCTCTCTCTCTCAGTAGTAACAACATGGGATAAATTTCGGGCTCGGGCCCAGGCCCAGGCTTCGGGCTTTTTATGAGGGCCGGGCTCGGGCCCAAGTTGTAGGCCCGATGGTCGGGCCGGACTCAGGCTCGGGCCTTAGAAAAATCTGTTAATACAGACTGAAAGCCCGGCCCGGCCCATGAACAGGTCTACCTGTGACATACTACAGAAAAGGAGGCCAAACCCTTGTCTCTCTCCTCATGTGTGTTCTCTATAAGGCTAGTGATGAAACCTTGTCTCATTTATTAATCTTCTGTCCTCTTGTGGTTTGTCTTTGGGAATATTTCTGTTCTCTCTTTGGTTGCAGATGGTAAACCTTTCCAAACCCAACTTCCTAAAGACCCAAGGAAAAGAAAGGGAAAATCATGTGGAGGACCTTAAGAGCTGCCTTGGTTTGGACGGTCTAGGAGGAAAGAAACAGCAGAATTTTCAATGAGAAAAGTAGGTCCAAAGAGGAGATTATGGAAGCTATCTCAATGAAAACCACTCACTAGGTAAAAACATTGGAAATGTTCAAAGTCTCCAGTTAATAATATTATTAGAGCTTAGCCTGAAGTGGCGTAATCAGATAGACATACTGAAGAGGTAAGAATGGACTGGAAGCCCCTAACTGAAAATAAACTGAAGCTGAACTTCAATGGTAGCTCTATGGGCAACCCAGAAAGAGCAGGTATTGGGGGAGTTATCAGAGACCATCTAGGTTCAATGGTGGCTTTATATTCAGGACCAATCAGCATGGGAGATTCGATAAAGGCAGAAACTTTGGCGTTGTTACAAGGCTTGAGATTAGCACAGCAGCTTGGCCTTAGAGATTTGGAAGTGGAGAGTGACTCACAATTAGTGATCCATTGGTAAAGCAGCTCAAGGCAGCACCTTGGAAATACAAACATGCTTTCATGGAAATTGATGTTATTGCAAAGCAATTGAACTCACATTTCAGCTGGGTGAGAAGGTCTGCAAACGGGATGGCAAATGTACTAAGCTAAACAGGGAGTTTAGAGGCAAAATCCTTTTTGGGAAAACTTGTAAAATGTTACCAAAGGGTATTCGTATATTCAACAATTGTACAACTTTAATCTTCATCTTTAATGAAATCATTTGCTGATAAAAAAAGATCTGACAGAGAACTGTCCAGTCTTTTCCCACCTCTAAACCCTCTTATCCCTCCTATCCAGGCAGACCTGGATACTGTATAACAGGAGTAGATCAAGCATGGCATTAACCTCCTAATTGTTTAGATTTAACTATTTCATTTAAATTGAATCTCACAATGAGTTGATAAGGTGGGATATTAACTCACTATGGACAAGCTGTTAGAGAGAAGTTCTGCAAAGGATCAGGTCTTCAAACATAATTTCCTCTTTTAGTAAGTGCTTCTAGCCCTTCTAATTGGGTTCATGCTTTCCTCTTTCGATGAAATTTCCTTTTTACATACATTAAAGGACAAAAAGAAATAGAGGATTGAAGATTTCACCACTATGGGAGTTTGTAATAAACTCAGGAAATTACCTTCTTTTTTAGTGCCCGAATTCTTTTATCAAGATCTGGACCAGGACACCCTGGATTTAAGCTCTCCACTGAATCTGCAGGAGACATTGCTGGAGAGTTTTCTGAAACAGATAGCATGTTAATTTGATTTGCTGCCAATTCAACAGCTTCAGGTCTGTCATTCAAATCCTCAGAAGGAAGCACCTCTCCAGTTTTCTTCTCCACCTCGGTCTTCAAAGTTACATGCTTTTCCTTCTCAAGAGCAGCCTGCAACACATACTTGGTCAATCAAAGAAATAATAGAAATAAACTACAAGTAACCAGACTATGTCCATAAACATAACCTTCAAATATCTACTTTATCATATGAAACACCTTGAAACTTATGCAACAATCTAAGACTTCTGAAATTCACTGTCACTTGGTTTAGAATCTCACTCAGCATAAACATATATGTTTCTAAACTGAAAAAGGAAATGTGTACTTCAGATTGTCCTATTCTTCATCTTGATCATGAGATATTTAGTTAAACTATAAAAGACCCAGGGGTAAAACTTTAGTAACCTTAAGCACTGTATCAAGATGTTATGTGCCAATTTTTTTATAGTATAAAGAAATTTGTTAAAATAAAAAAGGTCAGCCCACCCTGACACTGAAAACCCTGTTCAGAATTGACGCCTTATAAATGAATCCCCTAAACCCAACCAAACTAACAGATTGAAACATAATGGAATCCATCAAAAAAACCAAACTCAAAGCTGAAAGACCCAACCAAGAGGAACAACCAATACCCTGCAAGAGCCATCCAACAGCCCAACCAGCACCCACCAACAAACACCAGTGACCCACATCAAAAACAGCCAACCCAACTCCATGATGCAGTAGCATGTGCACAGCTAGATTAATTTGATCCTCAATGGAAGCCCAGAAGAAAGTCATCAGATCTGAAAACACGAAAGAAAAGGCCTGAAAATAACTTTGGTCTCATGCCAAGCTCGTGAGAGAGCCTTGGGAGAAAACTGACAAAAACAGTAACTTGAGCCTACAGCTCAGGTAGGACCAGGCGACCAGCTACCTCAGCTGCCCCCTAAGGCATGCCTAGTTGAGTATTGCAATGCAATGAGACCAAGAAAACTTTCATCATTCATTTCAGAGTTGATTTCTTTAGAAATTTGCATTTAGTGACAATTCTGTAATTATTGACATATGTAGCTAGGGTTGAATCTCTCTAAATTTAAATATTTATGGGTGTTTATTAGTGTACCAGGGCCAGAAAGGTTTTTTTTTCCTTTTTTTATAAGTAGGGCCAAAAAAGTGTTATAGAAGTTTTGTTCAAGTTGTCTTAGTCAGGTTTGGTGGTTAGGTTCACTTATGTGACAAGGACCAATAGAAATGTTTCTTTTCAAAGTTGTAGTAAGATAAGGAAACAGTCTAGGGGTTTCTGACGCTCCTTTTATTTTAAATAACTAGTGGAAGGCCATCAGAAATTAGAACAAATCAGTACAAGAAATGAAGGTGAAAATTAAGACTAAATATGATGGTTGAATGTTTTATTGGGTAAAGCAATGGGAGAGTTAGAGTTTGCAAGGAGAGGGAAAGATGAGGGAAAGATTCTCTAAAGATTAGAGAAACAAGGAGAGAAACTGTGATTCTGGAAAATGGTGCAGCAAGCTGGTTCAAAGGTTTTGTAGACAGAGCGATTCAGTTGGTGAAACAACCAGGATGGAAAAACACACTGAAATTGGAAGAAAGGTTCTACCAGCTGGAACAAAGAAGCATAAAGGGCTGGTTTCTGATGCTAACAGAACATTTTGGTCGAGAACAAAAACAAGTTATCTGTATCCCAGAAGGTAAAAACAGTTCAGGTTGGAAAGCTCTTGCAGGCTTGCTACAGGAGTTTTTTTAAGTAGGGCGATTGAAACTAAAAGGCTTGAACTGAAAGTAGGAGAAAGCCCACAGGAAAGCTAGGAGATAAGTTTGCAGAAAATGGAAGAAACCAAAATAGAGAAGTTAGACCAAAAGCTACCTCCGGTCTGCCGATGGCTCCAAGGATGGCTGTTAGTGGTGGGAGTGAAAACTGGGAGAAAAAAAATGGTAGTTTTGTTGAAGAATAAAGTGAAAGATTGGAAGGAGATTCTGAATGCTATTGCAAGCAAACTAGAGCTAAAAGACAATAAAGCTTAAGCCCTTCAAACCCAATAAAGCCATCTTGGAATTGGGAAGCACAAATCTTAACTTTTGTACAGTGGAGACCGGTGAAGGCCTGGTTATGGTTGAAAACTGGTGCCCTGCTTGCAATGATAAGAGCACTAAGGAGGGAAGCATCATTTTGAAGATTCTGGGCCTCCCTTTCAACTAGTGGTTGGAATCCATTCTGGATAAAGTCACAATAGCCTGTGGAGAACTCCTGGAAGCCATTAATATAGTAGACCTTCAAACTGCAAGAATCAAAGTCATAGGTATGAAGCCAGAAGCTGTTAGGAACCTGCCTAACTCAGGGCTCTTCGAGGGGCCAACCTCCTGAATTCTTGGAAGGAGAGAGAGAGAGAGAGAGAGAGAGAGTTTAATGCTGAAAGAGTCGTTCCCTTATTCCTTTTCTGCTCTACTACTTATAGTTTTACAACCTTGATTGTTACAATTGTTACAAGTGGATGGCAGTTGTTGTTACAAGTGGATGGTTAGTTGTGCTGATGTGGCTTCCTCTTGTAAAACTGATTAACTGCCTTCTGTTCCTCTTGTAAAACTGATTAACTGCCTTCTGTTGGTCTGTTCCAGCAGTCTTGACAGAAGCCATGCCTCGACCAATCAATTTACTGGTTGATGGCGTTTGGTGCGAAATGCCATTGTTACATGTTATAATTTTTAATTATGAGAATTATAAAATAAAACAAAACTACGAACTATGAAACTTTTTTGAGCTCCGAAGTCTGAACTGATTAGAGAAGAGAAAGCTAGGAAGTCTCCATTTTTTTTTTTTCTTTTGAAAGAAGGTAAAGTATGATTTTATTAATATAAGGTCCTGTGTACAAAGAGAAGCTGTACAAAATGAAGGACCTCAAAAAAAGGTCCTGTGTACAAAAGGCTAGGAAGTCTCCATTGTTTCAGTCCAATTCAACAAGGGATCTCCAGGTAAGTCAAACCAAACATTCTTAAACAGTACAAACGTTCCTGCATTTTATTTTCTTATTTTTAAGGAATATTTTTGGGAATAAAACAGGGGCTCCAGCCCCCTTATTTCTTCTTAAACAGGGGCTCCACCCCATCTTTTCAAATCTTTCCTGTATTTTTTGCATTCTTTTTAATAATGTTTTTTTGGAATGAAACAGGGGCTCCACCCCCTTATTTTTCTCTTTTTTATCGCTGCATTCCTCCGTTTCTTCTACTGCTCATCTTTGGCTAGTAATTAGTTGCTTCTTATTTGATTTATTGAACTGTTAGCTAAATATTGAAACTAATATGTTTAAATGATGAATATATGATGGCAGTTTATATTTTTACATGAAATTTATACTTGAAGATTTTGTTTCTGATAGTTAATGTACAGGATTGTTGATTGGTATACAAAGCTAATAAACCACCTTAGGAGGGGTAGGATCTATAGATTTTATATTTTCAAATTCCATCGCCTAGGCATCACCCCTGTGGTCACCTAGGCACCTTGACAACTATGGAAGTGGAAAGTCTTGGACAAAAAAGGATAGCGAGGTTTTACGAAAAAGGAATTATTTCAAATTAATGGCTGTAATAAAGCAAGTGATCAGTCAAATCTCAAAAGGGGAGAACAATAGTCCCAAACTTTTAATGGAAATCTGAGCCGGGTGGAGAAGAACCCAATGGTTGTGAGAAAACCATATGTGAGGCAGTGTCAGAAGGGACTGATGGCTTGGGGGTTCAGTTTGATCGCGTGACTAATGGCCTGGTAACCCAGCCATGTGACACCTAACTATCCACATGACTGGAGGCCTAAACCAAAGAACTCAGAGTGAATCGGGCCATTGTTTAAATCTGATTGCTGATTTGGCAAATCGGGTGGTAGATCAGTGTTGGTACCATTGTCTTCTATCCCTGCAACAGGGAAACCCGAAGCCATGGGAAAGGTGGAGAAAAAGAGTCAGAATGGATAAAAAGGCAAAAATCGACAAGTTCAGCAAACTCATTTCAGAAGTCTTTTCTCCTGGAGTGGAAGCTAAGGCAAGAGATGCTGGCTACAACCCAGAGAAACCCAACACAAGGTACAATAGAAAGAAAGAGGAAGAGGTTTGAAGAGTTTAGTGATTGGAGTGATTCACAGTTTGAAAGTGTTGAATCCCCGTCAAGCTTAGTAAGTGTCGACAGTTCCAAAGCCGGAAAAAGAAGGAACGACGAGCAGTTGGAAACGGCTTTGCTATTCGAAGAGGTTTCATCTACTGGTTTAAAAGCTACACCTAATGAGGTTAGGACAATGCAATTGCTGACAGACTTTAGTACCTCTACAGATAAGGATGGGTTAAATGAATGGCTAAATCAAGAGCAAAGGCAGGTTATTTGTTCTTGGAGAGTTGGACTGAATAAATGAGGCAAGTTTTAGTGCATCAAAGGTTCTTCCTTTGGAGTCCAATCAAGGAGAAGCTGAAAACGAAAACAACTTACAAGAGGTTTCCAAGGAATAGGCTTATGAAAGTGTTGAGCATGAAGCTTTTTTTCCCTCCCCCCCTTTCCCTGTTTTTTTTCCTACTCCATTGTTTTGTTCTAATTTTGTGGGTTTTGATTGTGAGTAGGGAGGTAAGGCTACGTACGGGGGTCTCCTTGAAGGACAAAGGAAAGCCGAGAGTAGGAGGTAGGCTAAAGGCTAGGGCGAATGAAGTGATAGAATGATTCTCCCGTTATGAGTTGGACCCCTCTTTATAGGAAGAGATCCCGAGGTCCCGAAAGGGAGGAGCCAAAACTATTTGATTCCCATTAGGAAAGGGAATCTTAGATTCAGTGTCAGTTGTTAGGGAACACTACTAGGGTTTCGCCATGTCTTATGAGATATCTCAAGGATGAGCTTTCCTTTCCGTCTGAGGATTCTCATAATACACGTGTGCTACTTCCTTTCGTGACCCTCTTAAACCGATGTGGTGCGAATGACGCCACTACTTATCTCGTGTGTCCTTTTTAAGCCTACGAAGCATCTCGTCACGTGTGTTGTAAGCAACGCACGTATTCCTTTTGCTTGTTTCTGACCTGTTATGAACTTGCATTCGTTGCGGATGTGCAATGAACTTAAGATCATCAAGGTCCGCACG